GTGGACAGGCCAAAGCTGTGTTTGCTAGTTATGTACTGGCTAGTGTTTTTGAGCAAGGGTCAGTACTGAAACACTTCAGAAAGTTTTGTTAGTCGTATGATTGTTCTGTTAGTGACAAAATGGAATGTTCAATCATTTGTTTTAATAAAATAAACATAATTAAGATAAAGAGTCACTCAAAGCAAAAGGATTTTAGTCTAAAATAAGTAGGTCTGAGAAAAAGGGAGTGATTTTGAAGGAAAACTCCAAACAGGCTCCACATGTGCAGGCCTGAAGCCCCTGACCAGTCACCTTCAGACGTGATTCATAATTTGGTTAGTTTGCGGAGAAACTCGATTGGTCTGTGCGCTGAAGGCGGGTGTTGTTGCCGTTGGGATTTTTATCTCTGCGCTTTTTCACTCTAGAAACATGACTAATGAGTTTAAACTTGGCCAGAGAGCGATAGCAGTAACAGAGTCCACCGCCTGAAGGAAAGGTCATGTGAGCCACCGAGTGAGGATAATAATGTGGCTGTTCCGTCTCCTGATTCCCTGATGACCCCGGAGATAAAATCTGAAAGCCTCTGAAAGGAAGAGGTGAGAAAAGCTGACAGGAAATGGAGGTAAAGGGAGATAAGAGGCTCAGTCTGGGTCATGAGCATGAGGGTTTCTGTTAGCCAGTAAATAACGGTATTTATCCGGTAAAATCTCTGCAGGACCCACATTAAAATCCCGCCAGACACAACGTCACGGAAAGTTATTCACCCAAAATTCAAATTCAATTTTAAGCTTGTACAATCCTGAGGCTGACACCTTTGTGTACACCATCTATGTTGGTCCACTCACCATGAAATTTTGACACTTTGTAAACAACCGCTGGCATTTTTCAAATTATGTTAACCCTTGTGTGGTGTTCAAGTCTGTGGGATCCATTTTCAATGTTTACCAAAAGAAAAATAATGCAATTTATTATTTTTTCAACCTCAGATTCTTGGTCTTTGCTCATTTTCTGTGAAGAACATATAAAATAACCCATTTTCAGTGTCTTCACTCTGTTCACCCCCCACACATTTATATTACACGTGTGGTGTTGGGTGAACCTGCGGGGAGTAAAAATGTGGAGGTGCTGTGTCCTTCACTCTGTTCTCGTCCTACATGGCCTGCTGTTAGTGTGTGTGTGTGTGTGTGTGTGTTTGTATATGTGTGTGTGTGTGTGTGAGGGTGGACAACATAGACAGGCTGCTGACTGGCTACAGCTGCTAAATTAGAACCCTATGCTGGACACTTGTGATATTTTAAACATCTGGTATTTTTACATAAACTGTTATGGCTGTATTGATTTAATAAAGCAATAATGTGGTGGGTCCAGCAGACCACAGAGTAACAAACACATCAACACCACACAAGGGTTAAAAAAATAAATAAAGCCTTTTTTCCAACTATGGAAAAAAATTACAGCGATGATTTGGCCTAAAATTAAATTGATCCATTTTTCCTCCTTCTTTCAAATTCAGTCAAGGCATGTCTGGAAGTTTTCTTCTTTAGTTTTGCACTGGAGCTATGAGGCTAATGTAGCTAACGTGTAACAGAAGCTTATACCCCACCAGTTAGCACAGTGCTAACTGCTTGCCTAAATCATCACATACTCGCCTCAGACTGTGTGGAGTTGTTCAGCATCTCTGATAGACTGGATTATGTTGGTTCTCACTCTCCATGACACACTGTTATCTATAAACATGGACATTTAAATGGACATAAATGGACATATAAACCAACAATTTCACAGACACAGAAACAAACACACACACACACACACACACACACACACACACACACACAGTGACACACAGTGTCAGTGTGGTGGTGGAGACAGGTCTAACAGCAGGGAAGCAGTCAGTAAATTGGGCAAAGTCAGGAGTGAAGACAGCTTGTCACTACTGAGCACCATCAGCACTGACACACACACAGATACACACACACACACACACACACAGATACACACACACACACACACACAGATACACACACACACACACACAAACACACACACACAGACACACACACACACACACACACAGTTTACGTTTATTATTTTTATCCCTTGTAAGTTGTAAGGACGCAGGGTCTTATATATTTATATATCTTATATATATATTATTTAAATGTAACTACATAAAGTATATGTACAGTGATCATCCCACTCCATAAATATTGGCACCCCTGTAATCATGAACAAAATTAGCTGTAAAAACACATACATACATACATACATACATACATACATACATACATACATACAAACCCAGGCCCTTCTTGCTGTGAGGTGACAGCGCTACCCACTGCGCCACCGTGCCGCCCGCTGTAAAAATATTCTTATTCTTTTTGAAATTCATTCAAAACATTAGCAAAAATCTAACCTTTATTTAAGGTATAATGATTGAAAAAAAAAAATTATCTTGTCATGAAAAAAAATATTTTTCTTAAATCTATGTGCGCCACAATTGGTATCCCTAGAAATTCTTAAGATTGAAATCTAACTGAAGTATATTACCATTCATATGTTATGTTTTTACGCTCACCTGAGTGATTAGAATTGTACTTGTTAATGTTTTGAAAGAAAGATCAGGATAAGAAAGTATAAGTGATAATGTTTTTCACAGTCTAAGCATTTTTTTGCGATTTATATCATCCTGTTCAAAGGGCAAAGGGTAAGTAGCCTTTTCAAATTATGCAAATGTATAAAGAGATAAATTAATGAAAAGCCAAAAAAATAGACAGAGGTTTTTGTGTGACAGTGAGGATATGGAAGCACCTCACTGTAATAATGTCTCATTTGTATTATATGTAAGTATCTATAAGTTATATGTATTTAAAATGTCCCGTGTGTATATTTATGACAGTTTCAATAATAATAATAATATAATGTAATAATGTTTCTGTATAACATTATTAATACATTAATATTTCACAGAAATGTATAGTACACAAAACTTTCAATTTTCCAGAATAAATTTTAAAAATAAGAACTGACTGAAAGATCAAATTTTAAGGATGAAATTTTGCACAATATGACCTAAAAATGTAAATGTTCTAATAAATTATGTCATTCAGTTCAGCTATGCTGTAAACAGTTAAACCCAAAGCAGTTTAGACCATAATAAGGCAAACTGTAAACTGTGGTTTCATGACATGACTGGTCAGACTCTATTTGAGTTGGCGTGGAATGATATGTATTAAAGTAAAATATGAAGCTTTTGTAAACAAAAACATTTTACAAAGTGAGGATCAGTTTGTTGGTCCTGTGTAAAGGTTATGATAACGTATATTAATCATGTTACTGGAACCGTTTTTCTTGGGTTTTCCAAGAACGTCAGAACATTTATGTCCTAAAAATGCATAAAAACAAACACACACACACACACATACGCGTGGCCCATGTCTTTATGACTCTTTATATCTCTATTGTAAAGTTACAGTAATCACTTCCATACAGTCACTTCATTAAGCCTTTAATATTTGATAAAAATGCCATTCATCATTTAATAACATCTGCAGGAAAAACTATAAAGAGGTTCAAAAGCAATGATGCTTTAAATGAACACGGTTCATCATCGAGACCCATATATAAATAACAGTACATTGAAATATTTCTTTATATACATCATTCATTTATATTCATCATTCATAAAAACAACAAACACTATGCAAAGACTGCAGCAGTACCAGAACAATGTCTCTGCAGTAACCCAGCAGTGCTTCGTAGAGCCAATACTGACCACACAGGAAGTACGATGACAGTGCAAAATAAGTTTGGGGAAGAGGTGACCATCAGAAAATACTCTTGGTTACATCTCCACAGGCAAAATGTGCATAAAAGGCAAAAATAAAACTAAATCATTAAAATATTAAAAAACATTAAAATATATCATTGCCTGATGCCTCATGTAGAAAGTGCAACAGGGTGGAATTACAAAATAAGCGATTCTTCAAATATATATATATAATGTTAGCATGTACACATGTGGAATGGCCATTAGGATAAAAGATGTCCAGCACAAGTTCATCTGTCAATCACACCATGACTAAATCATTTAAGGAAAATGATCAAATGTCACTGGATACATTACATTTATACACCACACTCTCAGAAATAAAGGCGCTGTACTGTCACCGAGGCAGTGCCCCGCTTGTGACTGGGGTGGGACCCTCAAAGGTACATCTCAGTACCTTTAGTCAGGGAACATAACTGAATCATAAACCACTGAAATGATATGTTCTAAGCTGTACTGACTCCACACACCCCATCTCGTCTCCAGGACTTTATTTTACTGTTCTGTTTTAAAACATTCGGTTATGAAAAGGTACAAATACAAACTTTTCACCTGGAAAAACGTCTTTAAAGTACATAGTTGGACCTTAAAACCACTGCTGTACCTTTGAGAGAACATTTATATTGTTTGTACCTTGATGAATGGAAAATGTACCTGAACAGAACCTTTATTTCTAACAGTGTACGTATCCAAAAGTATCCAGACAGCTTTCTGTTACTTTAAGGTGACACAGGCAACTGTACTGGTATAATCTCCATAGAAAAGCACTGACAAATAGAATGGGATGCTCTGGAGCAGCCACACATGAGCCTGAGGTCATCATGCTCAAAGCCAAGCGTGGGTATAAAGCCCCCCAGCATTGGGCTGTGAAGCAGTGGATCTGTGTTCTCTGGAGTGATGGAGCTCCATCCAACACCTTTGGGATGAGCTGGAGTGATACAAACAATGTATTTTAAGGCACTTAGTTCAGTCTTGTTATGATGCGTAAAGCTAATTGATCCAGCCCACAAATGCGTCTTTTCGTAGCTACTGTTTTGACGGTCAAGCTTTATAGAACATGAACCAAAATTCCATTTAAACTAATGATGAAAACTGTAACTTTTAAAAACTCATCATTTTTTATCAAAATTCCTAAATTTGAAGTGCTGCAATTCCATATATATATATATATATATATATATATATATATATA